GGCCCCGCCCCTGCCCTACCCCCAGCCCCCACTGCCCACCGGAGGCTGATCTGTCAGTCACTGCCCCAGCCGGAGCCAGCCAGCACTCTCCACCCCGGACTCAGCAGAGGCTCCCGCAGCCCAGCATCCATTCGAGCTTCTGAGGCAGAAAGGGTGCTCCTGGGGCCCTGGCCGGTCACGCTCGCCCGGGATGCGAGTCCCTGCACCGACGCCCCGCAAAGGCCGGCATGGGCGCGGCTACTCTCCGTGCACAGGGATGAAGCTGTCCTGGGGGCCCCGGCGCCCCGCCTCGGCCAACCCTGCGGGACCCTGAGGCCGCCACCCCGAGCTCTGTGCTGCTGGGCTCCCAGAGTTGCCTGGGGTGCCCTCTCTAACCGCCGAACCTCCTGCGGTCCTCCTTGACCCGGACCCATGGAGCCGGCGGTGCTGGCCTCGCACAACCTGCAGCACCACGAGCCAATCAGCTTCGGCATTGATCAGATCCTGAGCTGCCCGGAGGCCCCCGGGAGCGGCCTAGGCCCGGGTCGCGTGAGCCAGGCCCATGGAGAGAGTGCAGCGTTCTCGGGTGGATTTCACGGAGCCTCAAGCTACGGCCCCGCGGGCTCGCTGGGCCCGCTACCCAGCAGCTCCAGCGTGGGCCCAGGCGGCGTGATCCGCGTCCCGGCGCACCGCCCGCTGCCAGTGTCGCCTCCCGGGGGAGGTGCGCCTGCGGTGCCTGGCCCCTCGGGCTTGGGCGGCGCCGGGGGCTTAGGGGGACTCACCTTCCCTTGGATGGACAGCGGCCGCCGCTTTGCCAAGGACCGGCTCACGGGTGAGGTTGCCCAACCCCTCCAGCGTCATTCCTCACACCGACCCGGTTTCCTCATCTCTGATCCTTCAGATCCAACTCCTCCTAGTCCCCTTTCATACCCCTCTCCCAGCCTAGGTTATCCCAGGGGATCCTCTACCAAAGTGTATCTCTTGGTCTCGCTGCTGAGAGGCAATGGGGAGGGAGCTGCCGTCGATGCCCGCGCCCTCTGCAGTCCACTGTCCACACCGCGGGGAGGGCAGGGTGAAGTACGGAGACGATTCTCTCTCACACGAGGCGGGGGGGGGCCGTTTCTTGTCTAGAGGCCTCTATTGATGCGGGGCCGAGCTTGGGGCCCCGGTAAGGACCAGGCGCAGGAGCTCTGCGTCTTGGGCAGCCGCGCTCTCTTCTCAGGAACACCTCGGGCTACTCTGCAAACCCTGCCCTGCTCTTTCTTCCGCCCTGCAGCTGCGCTCTCGCCCTTCTCTGGGACGCGCCGCATCGGCCACCCCTACCAAAACCGGACCCCACCAAAGCGTAAGAAGCCGCGCACATCCTTCTCCCGCTCACAGGTGCTGGAGCTGGAGCGGCGCTTCCTGCGCCAGAAGTATCTGGCCTCAGCTGAGAGGGCGGCGCTGGCCAAGGCCCTGCGCATGACCGACGCTCAAGTCAAGACGTGGTTCCAGAACCGGCGCACCAAGTGGCGGTGAGGGACCGCGGGCTGGGCCAAATGGTGGTGAGGCTCGGGGCGGGGAGGGACCACGGGCTGGGCCAAGTGGCTGCGAGGAATGGGGCGGGCGAGGGCTGGCTTCGCTGACCCCACATCTCCGCCCGCCCAGGCGCCAGACGGCGGAGGAACGCGAGGCGGAGCGGCACCGCGCGGGCCGGCTGCTCCTGCACCTGCAGCAGGACGCTCTACCGCGGCCGCTGCGGCCGCCGCTGCCCCCAGACCCGCTCTGCCTGCACAACTCGTCGCTCTTCGCGCTGCAGAACCTGCAGCCCTGGGCTGAGGACAACAAAGTGGCTTCTGTGTCTGGGCTCGCCTCGGTGGTGTGAGAGACGCTGCCCCGCCGGCCGAGTGCTTTTCCGGACCGAGGTGCCGCGTGGAGCGCGTGGCCAAGGGCTGTGGGGCGCGCGGCTGCCCTTACCTTGGCAGCGCAACGCGTGAGGAGCCAGCCTTGAGGCTCCTGTCTAGGGATCCTCGGCCACTGCGGGCTCCTGGGCCAGCGTGGCACACTTGCCCGGCATGTTCAGACGCAGCCTTTCCCGCGGTTTTTCACTTGGATTGTCTCACCGCTGCTGGAATCCCAGGCGGCGAGGGGGCGGGACCTGCAGTACGGTAGCCAATGAGGTGCGGAGATGGGGGCGGGCTGGCCAATGGAAGCTGCTGTCTTGAGGGATTTAGGAGAATTAAGCAGGTGGGTCGGAACGGTGGTTCTGTTGAGCCGCAGCAGGTAAAAGGCGCTGCTGGGATGGGGCAACCCCCACTGGCCGGGTCGGTACCAAAGGTGTGAAGGAAGGAAAGAAGATGCCAACGACAGCAGAGTAATGAAAAAGTTGCTGTAGAGCGAGTCTGTGACAGGAACCAAAGGGTTACCGACGCTGGGCATCTCATCTTTCTACTGTAAAATAATCGCTAAGGATTCCTTCCTATGAGCCTCATGCTGTCTCTGTGTGTTCAGCCTTCTGACTACCTTCTCCCACCTGAGCCTCCCAATGCACTTGGGCGGCAGGGGAGACGGATACACTTCTTTTTCATCGATGAAAATCTAGGAACACTAACCTCGCAGGGACAGAGAAGAGAGGAGAGGAAGCAGTGGACAAAATTAACGGGCCCAGTGGAGTTAGGGTGAGTAGAACTTGGCAAATAACTAGGAAGTGATAGACCTAAGAAGAATCAAAGATCATTCCAAAGTTGGAAATGTAGAGGATCAGGAAATCAATGGTGTTGTAGATGATGAAGGGTAGATTAGGAAGATAGGAACAAGATTAATTTTGCAGGCCAAACTAAATGCTAGACCTTGAGAGAATAAATTCTGGAAAAGTGCCTTTGGGGGAGGTTCGTTGACGTCCACATAGAGGTGGAATAGATGGAATGATGAAAACAGAATCTCTAAGGGAGGAAATTCTGAGGAGAAAAACAGAGTTCTAAAGATTAAGTATTTTTTCCCCAGCAAATTCTACAAACACATTTACAATGTGCAAGATGATGGAGGATATCTAAGGTATTAGTCCAAGGGAGGAAAAGGGAAAGGAGTACTGAAGTGGAAAGAAAGGAAAGCATGATGTACTTGAAGTTGTTAGAAAGACTTTAGCTTGTGGTTGGGCCAGAGACTATTGGAAAGCTTGTTGATGGAAAATTTGAGAATTTGGGGATGGTTGAAATAGCCTTGAGGTTTGAGAAGGACTTAAGTTGTATGAAGATGAAAAGAAAGATTTTGTCTGCTTCCTATAGTACCCCCATTCTTCCTCCCCTGGAGGCAGGAGCAGGGTGATAGAGGGAAGTGAGCTTTAGGTAGGGTCAGAGGCCATCTGTATTCAAACTTCTCATGTTCTGTGTTAGTGACAGCTAGGTCAGCCACATCACAAAGATTTGACCAGAGGTGGGGACCAGGCAAAGGGATATAGCTGGAGGTGCTGGCCATGATTCTTTGATATTGTATCATCTCTAACTCATGAATGTTGTATATGCTGCTGAAGAACCAAACTCAAATTTGGTACCATAGAAAAAGGACTTTAATATCCCAAAAGAGAACACAAGTATAGGTTTGGCTTAAGTTGGGGATACAGGGGGCATATCAGTCCCTCTCCAATAAATAGAAGAAGGCTAAAGAAAGGATCTTACTTTATGTAGACTGTGGTTTACCCAAGTCTCTCCATTCTGAGACCCCATTTTTTGAGGCTCATGTTCCGAGATTTATATTTGACCCTAATCTTGGGGCTTCTAAATCTGGCTGGCTGCCTTGGTGCTAGACTGAGAGAAGATCTAATGTGATGAGATGAGCTCTGCTCCATTCCTTAGACAGGTCACTGCAGGACACAGGCATCTCCAAGCTCTTGGGTGGATGAGGACTCACTTTCTGTTGAAGAAGCTGCCATTTCTTCCCTAAGTTGGTTCAGGAAGTCTCTGCTCTCACTGGGGGGCAGGTTACTCAGGAAGTACGGAGGGGCCAATTCCACCAGCCTGACACAGAGAGTAATAATTAGATGATTTCTGTATCCTCCCTCATAATGCAGATTTTTAAACTTCTCAGTACCCCTTCCACAAACTGTCTTCTCAAATCATGTTACTACAAATCAGTAGGATCCCCTCTTCTTCTGAAGACTAACTCTCCAGTCATAATTTTGGCCTAGGAATGGGCAGTATAGAAGGGCTGTCAGGGAACTCACATCTGTGGTTGAATCTCAGAAACAATGGAAAGGCAGTTGTCTTTGGAAATGGAGAAATTGTGGTAAAGCACCCATGGTGGGGGTCTGGCTGGAGCCCGGCGGCTTCGGTAGCAGCAGTATGGGGAGAGCTGGGCCACATGCTTATGGGTTAGGAGCAGGTAATTTCCAGTCCCATCTGTGTCTTGGGCCACCTCATTGAAAGGCAAAAATATTGAAAGAGTAAGTGAGAGTGAAGAGGCAGACAGTAGAAAAAAGTAAAGGAGGCCGAGAAAGAATTAGTAAGGGTGGTGAGAGTATTAAAAGTAAAGCATTACCTCTAGATGTTATAGTCCCTACCATACCATATGGCATTTTCCATAGTCCTTGTACCCCAAAACCTCAAAGGAAAAGTTTTTCCTGGTTCTAAAGAATCCTTTGAACGGCCACCTGGACCCCAGTTTCAGAGGTGGCATACCAATCTTTGGTTTCTCTGTCTTCTGCTCCTTTTGTGATCC